TTCCCCAACCCAAAGAGGGTACACCCTGCCCGCGAGGAGTGGCACCCGGGTTTTAAGGTATGGACAATCGATGGACGATGAGGGTGCAGAGCACCCGGGGCCACCTTGTCATACATGTCCAGTTACTCCCCTAGTAGTGGGCAACACAGATTCGAGGGCACACAGTACCCTTAAAGGTCCCCCCGGGTGCAACCCCGCCCCCCACTGTGGGACCCCAAGAGAATCCGCCGACCGCCAATTAAAGGCGGATTGGCTCTAAGCCCGGGTTTTTGCCCCAAAAACCCCGAAAATAGGCTTTTAAAAAATTACCCGGGAAAAGGGCCCAAATCCCTGTAACAGCCCAATACACTTCAACCGCAGGGGCTGGGGTAAAAATGTGGCAGTTGCAGGGGCCTCCCATCTATTGCCCAGGGGCCAATGGGTAATCCCAGCCTGATATGGGGAGCAAACAAATGTCCATAAATAACCCCCCAGCAAAAGGTCTACCCAAAGCCTGGCCTCACCCCCCTTTCCCCCCAAGGAGGACAACGTGATTAGCGGTTTTTCTTTGCGGGGAAACCGGGGGGGAGGAAACTCCACCCAAGATCTTCCCCCACAGCGTTTCCCCACAGACCGGACAGGACTGCGAAAAGCCCACAAGACCCCCAGTACAGGCAAGACCCCTGACCAAAAGGCCGGCTCCCCCCCAAAAGGCAAGCAAACCCCCCGCTGCATGGGCTAACCCCCAACAAGGGCCCTCCCCAGGAGGAGGGGGAACAAAAAACGAGGCGCCAACGGTTTAGGCCTCCGCAGTCCTCCTTAAGTGAAGGCCTCCCCTGAGCCTGGTTTCCATCAAAGATTTGGAAGGAAATGAGTGTTTTTGAGCTCCCAGGCAGTTCTTTTGGGGAAAACCCCCTTAACGCATCTGAGAGACCCCTGAGAAAAGCAGCCACCAAAACCTCGTTGTTCCAACCCACCTCTGCCGCCAGGGGGACGAAATTCAATGGCTTACTCGCAACGGTTCGTGAACCCGATGCATGGACGAGCAGCTTTGTACAGAGGCGGGCGAGCAGGCACATCAAATACCGTATGGAAGGAGGGAACAAAACGCAAACTCGTGAACACAGGGTTTTTTGTTCTCCATAAGGGATTTGCCCAGGCCCAAAGGGCCTTGTCCGGGGCCCAATTTTGGGAAACCTACCTTTGACCTCTCATAAGAAAAACGGGGTATCAATTCAAAATTAGCCCCTTGGTTAAGGAAACCCCGACATGACCGGTTCACCCCCCAAGCCCTGGAAGGGGGGGTAAACCAGTAAACCCTGGGACCGAGGGGCGGCGCAAGCGGGGTAGGCTCAACAACCCCGGGAACAACGGGGAACGACCACAGGATGACAACCGGGTTAATAGCACCAGAGCAATCCTGTGCATGCAAGAGCGCCTGCAACCCGAGCGAACTGACCAACAAGAAAAATCCCGCTGACAAGTTGGAACCAAAATAGGGGCGGGGGCCGTACCTTCACCGAGGGTTCATGGCTTCGTGTAGTGTCAGGGAGGGGGACCAGACCACAAGGAGGGCACAAAAGGTAGGTTTTATTAATATAAAAAAAGCAAGAGTTTTGCAAGTCCAACCCGAATTGAGCCAAAGCCGGGTCAAGAGCCAGGAAGAATGTCGCCCCGAGCCGGGATCAGGAGCCAGGAAAAATCATCGCCCGAGCCGGGATCGGAGCCAGGAAGAATGGTCGCCAGAGCCGGGGGCAGAAGCCAGGAGGGTCTTAGTCAAAGCCGAGTCGGTACCAGGAAAGAAATGAGTAGTAAAAAGGGGCTTGCTGTTTGCAACAGACAGGACACGAATGCAAAGGACAGCCACAAACAGCAAACTTATATGTATAAGCCGCCACCTTCCTGGGGTAAAAGGAGCCGCAGAGGGCTGAAAAGCATAAAGGATCCCACAATATGCTTTGCAGACACCTAAAATAGATTCCAGCACATGGAGCAGCCACAAGGTCTAAGGAAAGGTAGGACCTATGACACTACCCAAAACCCAGAAATCAGGTGGATAACAGCAAGATTTATATACTCCCCTTGATTATTTGGAGCGTTTTTTCACAGAAGATCTGTAATGCATTGATTGTGGATCAAAGCAAGTTATAGCACAACATATATGCCGCCAACACAAATTTAAACCTTGCCAGAACCATTACCTGTTTCCGAAATTTAAAGATTTTTTCCGGCCTAACTCCTCAACATTGGTAATTAACTAAAAAAAATAATAATTGCAGTTGTATTGGTCCACAGACCCGATTCATCAAATGCCTGTGTTCTCTGCTGCCATGGCCAGGCATAGATATGATAGTAATGTGTTTTATGCATTTCAAACGACAATACACTCTGTCAACCTTCGGGTGACCCTGAATTTGAACCCAGCTCCACAAAAAATTCTCGGTCCCATCGTAAATCACCTTAACCAAAAATTCTGCAGAAGACTTATACTCCCACAGCCAAACATCTGCCATTGAAAGAGTCCCTCTTTAATTTTTCCTTGGCCGCCTTGCCTATCAAACAATTTCTTCCCAGCAAAAGTCAGCCCAGATATAGCGGGCCCAAGATTTTTTTTTTTGGGTATAAAAGACCCTGTGGAGAGGGCAACAGGCTATAACATATACGAATTCAGTTTTACCGAGGGAAAAGATAGACCACTTTAAGCCCCCCCGAGATGCCCAGACTACATGGGGGGAGGCAGTTGAGCAATATAGTTTAGGACTTGGAGTCCAAACCATTTTCCATAAGGGATAACAATTTATACATCGGACAATTTTAATTCCAGCCGTGCCACTACTTAGAACATTTTTGTACTATCTGGGTATTCGGCGCACTGGTTGCATCCAGAGCGACCCAAATCGCCAGTGCTTCCTCAAAAGGCTTGTAAATACCCAATGTCTTAGAAAGGGTCAAAAAGCCTGCTTGAGAATTGAGGACTTGCTCGCAGTGAAGTGTAAAGGGACAAACGGGATGTTTTCATCCTGTCCTTCCATTCACAGGCAGACACTGACCATCCCAAATTCAGCCAATGGCACGCAGGTGTTGTTGAGAAGCCCCTCAGTGTCCACTACTATAAACCTTCAAACCTGGGTAGTGGAGGAACTTAAAACGACCAGATGATGAAAGCCATAACTTAGTTTCTCGAACAGACAAATGGCTGGTACAAAGAACGTGTCTGTTACAGTTTATTTCAATTGGCTTACAGTATATAATGGGTCTTTGGTCCTTTAAAAAGCAGCTGGACGAATGTGAAAATCCATTTCTAAAATTCCAGGAAGAGATCATCATGGCCCTTTTTGTATGCAGAAGGAGCAGTGGCTCAAACCCCCAACAACAGATGCAGTATAGCCGGCTGCATTATAGGCGCATTTCTTTCCCTGATGCCATTCCTGGTAACCCCAAACCCAAAGGACACCCCAAAAAAGAGGTGTTGTGTCCTTAGCAGACATGGAAGGAGGGTACAGCAGACAATGTACAGGAACAAAAACCAGAGAAAAACTGCAGACATAGTACAGGAGATGACCAGAGACAGCGGACATACTACAGGAGGATGACCAGAGACTGCCGACGGACACTAGGAGTGACAGCGGACGTACTACAGGAAGATGACCAGAGACAGCTGCGCACCGCAAGGACACAGTACAGGGATGACCAGAGAACTGCGGACACAGTACAGGGATGACCAGAGACTGCGGACATAGTACAGGATGACCAGAGACTGCGGACAACAGTACAGGAGATGCACCAGAGACTGCGGACACAAGTACAGGAGATGACCAGAGACTGCGGACATAGTACAGGGATGACCAGAGACTGCGGACATAGTACAGAATATGACCAGGAGACTGCGACACAGTACAGAGATGACCAGAGACTGCGGTCTACACAGTACAGGGTATGACCAGAGACTGCGGACACAGTACAGGGGATGACCAGAGACTGCGGACACAGTACAAGGGATGACCAGAGACTTGCAGGACACGAAACACAGATGAAACAGAAGACTGCGGACACCAGTACAGGAGATGACCAGAGACTGCAGACATAGTACAGGGAAATGACCAGAAACTGCGGAACAGTACAGTGCAGGGAATGACTGCGGACTTAAACAGTACACGGGGATGACCAGAGACTGCGGACATAGTACAGGGAATGACCAGAGACTGCGGACACAGTACAGGAGATGACCAGAGACTGCGGACACAGTACAGGGATACAGACCAGAGAACTGCGGACTGCAGTAACAGTACAGGGATGACCAGAGACTGCGGACACAGTACAGGAGATGACCAGAGACTGCGGACATAGTACAGGAGATGACCAGAGACTGGCGGACATAGTACAGGAGGGATGACCAGAGACTGCGGACACAGTACACAGATGACCAGAGACTGCGGACACAGTACAGGGAATGACCAGAGACTGCGGACACAGTACAGGGATGACCAGAGACTGCGGACACAGTACAGGAGATGACCAAGAGACTGCGGACACAGTACAGGAGATGACCAGAGAGACTGCGACACAGTACAAGGGATGACCAGAGACTGCGGACACAGTACAGGGGATGACAAAGAGACTGCGGACACAGTACAGGGGATGACCACCAAGACTGCAGCTGACAGTACAGGGGATGAACCCAGATTACAGGACAGTCCATGAGGATGACCAGAGACTGCGGACACAGTACAGGGGATGACCAGAGCCACTGCAGGACAGTACAGGGGATGACCAGACAGACTGCGGACAGTACAGGGGATGACCAAGTAGACTGCGGACAGTAGTACACGGGGATGACCAGAGACTGCGGACAGTACCAGGAGATGACCAGAGAGACTGCTGGACACAGTACAGGGGATGACCAGAAGACTGCGGAACAGTACCAGGGGACCAAGAGACTGCGGACACACAGTACCACAGAGATGACCAGGCACTGCGGGACAGTACACACTCATGACCAGAGACTGCAGACAGTACAGGGATGACCACCAGAGACAGCATGACAGTACAGGAACTGACGAGAGACTGCAGACAGTACAGGGGAGAATGACCAGAGACTGCGGACACAGTGTACAGGAGATGACCAGAGACTGACGGACACAGTACAGGAGGATGACCAAGATACTGCATGGACAGTAACAGGAGATGACCAGAGACTGTTCCAGGACCAGTACAGGGAGCATGACACAGAGACCGGACAGTACACAAGGAGATGACCAGAGACTCAGCGAACAGTACAGGGATGACCAGAGACTGCGGACATCAGTACAGGGGATGACCAAGACGACTGCGGACAGTACAGGGGAGACCAGAGACTGCGGACAAAGTACAAGGAATGACCAGAGACTGCGTACAGTACAGGGGATGACCAGAGACCTGCAGACAGTTACAGGGGATGACCAAGAACTGCAGACAGTACAGGAATGATGATAGAGACTGCAGACACTATAGTAGTGTGTACCCGCAGTACCAGAACTTTTGACATAGCCTGTGTATGACCTAAAGACTTGTCAGTACAAGAGACCACTCAGACATTTTGAGATTTCCCGACCGAGGTACCGGGGGGAATCAAGTCCTAATGAAGCTAGTGGCACCTGCAACCGATCGACTGGCTCATTAGAGAGGACTTGCAGGCTATATGTAGAACCATCAACCCGAATGGCTGCACCATTGGACCACTACAGGCGCCATAAAAGGTACCAAAGCACAAGCCTTCTAGTTACTTACTGCACAGGAGAGGCTCGCCAGCATGCCTACACAATACAGACGATACCCACAGTATCCTAACTAGGGCCCTCCTCAGAGATATCAAAGACGGAGAATGAAAAACAGGTAGATGTGAACTGAAACATGTCAGATGCGGTTACCAGAACTGCGTAGGGACATGACAGACGACTGCGGGACATCATAGGTTTGTTTGCGTAGTTGCGAGATCGACAGCATTTAATCAGGAGTGATACACTAAAACAATACAGAGAACTATATCAAGCTTCTGCTTGAACCCAGAGTCCTTTAGAACTAAAACTTTCGATTACAGTACCATGCAGAGCTCATAAGACCAACTTACTTCTCAAGGATGTCAAGGAAGATGGCATGAAAACTAATGTATTACCATCATGCTATCGGTAAGGAAGCTACCACTCAGAGAGCTACTGTCTGGACATCAGTGACGGACACCTGCTTAAAACGACCACTGACTACGTACAGACATAACCAGAGCACTGCATAGTTCTATGAGAAGAAAAATGATGAATATTTAATATGAAAGTTTACAGGGTCGACATGCCCGAACAAAAGGACAGAGACTCCTCCAGTGAGTACCAGGAGAGTGCAGTAACTGCAATATCAGTCTAAACAGTCTACACCAGAGTGACTAGACTGAGCTACATAAGATGTGCCACCATACACTGACCAAGGGCGAGACCCCTGCAACGTTGGACCCAGAACCACCCAACCTTCTGGTATTGACCAGGCATACCCCGATTTGATAGAGTCGCACTTACCTTTTTGACCTCACAAGCTGATCATGGAAGAAGACCAAGACCATTTCCACAATTAACTTGTTTCATTGTCGACTCAAAACTCCACAGACAAGTGAGCTAGAACTTTGACTAGGTATCTCCATTTGACCAACAAACAGACACATACTTGGAGATGTGCACCATTTTAAAGCCCACATGTAAAGCAATGACAAAAGATTAACTCCTGCCGATCACCAACACAAGGATGTGAATTCTTGTCTGATTTTCCCAACACAGAATCTGCATCACGAGGGTCAGTAGAGTTTGACCCACTTTTGGTTGCAAACCTGACACAGTAAAAGGAAATGACCGGCATTCAAATCAGATCCATACTTTCATAATGTGTCCATACTCATAGCAACTCACTTTTTCTTCATGGAGCCACTCAGGCCCTCGTTGAGATTGACGCCACTTGATCCCAAAGTAGTCGCATACTTTGTAACTGCCCAAACTCAATAAAGCCATGTCAGAAAATGTGCCCATGTTAAATGACGCCTCATTATCGCCCTTAGAATGCAAGAACTTGCTACCTTAAGCTGGCAGTGCACATGAAACGTAAATCATACCCCCGATATAAGCTCGCTCTGTCCCTTCAGAGATCCTGACCACCATGATCTGTGAAAAGCCGCTACCGTAGACGGTCTCCCCCCCCCTTTATAGGAGCCGCCACCACTGTCTGGAGGCGCAACACTATCCACCGAGCAAGTTATTGCACACCTTGTGGCCACTTAGTCCTGCTCACGCTCTGGATAAAGCCGACCCATTGATAAGATAGCTCTAAACCCACCAGTTGTGTCAGTTCACATCAGTAAGAGCATGAATACCATCATGGGGTGTCCCTACGCTCCAACGAGATCTCGAGGCCCCTCCCCACCATAGCCCACTCACCCAAGAAGCCATTGCTTTACCCCTGAGGAAATGTACCACCAGCACCAGTCTAATCGGGTTGAAGTGTCATTGATATCCGCTTTAAGGCATAGAATAATACGTAGAGTCGAGGTGCGATAAAACGCACTCCAAAGCATCAGGCTATCTATCAAAATATGAAGTCTTCACCCAATAAAGTGTGTATTATGAATGCATTTATTAACACATATATTCAGGAACACCGAAATACTCGAGTGGGACCTCCCCGACAAGTCTCTGCAGTCTCTACCTTGTGGGCACCCCTGTACGCCTCTGCAGTCTCCTAGGTCATCTCCTGTAGCCTGAGATTACTGCAGTCTCTTGGTCAGTTCGCCCTTATATAGTGTACGGATCTCTGGTCATCTCCTGTACTGTCTGCACCTCTGGTCATCCCCTGACCACTGTGCAGTCTCTGGTCTATCCCCTGTACTGTCCGCAGTCTCTGGTCATCCCCCTGTACTGTCCGCAGTCTGAGTCATCATACTGTACTGTCTGCGCAGTCTCTGGTCATCCCCTGTACTAGTCCTGCAGTCTCTGGTCATAGCCCCTGTACTGTCCGCAGTCTAGTCTGGTCATATCCCCTGTACTGTGTCCGCAGTCTCTGGTCATCCCCTGTACTGTCCGCAGTCTCTGGTCATCTCCTGTTTGTGTCCGCAGTCTCTGGTCATCCCTGTACTACTGTCCGCAGTCTCTGGTCATCCCCTGTACTGTGTCCCTGCAGTCTCTGGTCATCCCTGTACTATGTCCGCAGTCTCTGGTCTTCCCTGTACTGTGTCCGCAGTCTCTGGTCATCTCCTGTACTGTCCGCAGTCTCTGGTCATCCCCTGTACTGTCCGTACAGTCTCTTGGTCATCCCCTGTACTGTCCGCAGTCTCTGGTCATCCCTGTACTATGTCCGCAGTCTCTCTGGTCATCCCTGTACTGTCCGCAGTCCTCTGGTCATCCCCTGTACTATGTCCTGCAGTCTCTGGTCATCCCCTGTACTGTGTCCTGCAGTCTCTGGTCATCCCCTGTACTGTCTGCAGTCTCTGGTCATCCCCTGTACTGTCTGCAGTCTCTGGTCATCATCCCTGTACTGTGTCGCAGTCTCTGGTCATCCCTGTACTGTGTCCTGCAGTCTCTGGTCATCTCCCTGTACTGTGTCCGCAGTCTCTGGTCATCTCCTGTACTGTGTCCGCAGTCTCTGGTCAGTCTCCTACTGTCCGCAGTCTCTGTCATCTCCTGTACTATGTCCGCAGTCTCTGGTCATACTCCTGTACTATGTCCGCAGTCTCTGGTCATCTCCTGTACTATGTCCGCAGTCTCTGGTCATCTCCTGTACTGTGTCCGCAGTCTCTGGTCATCTCCTGTACTATGTCCGCAGTCTCTGGTCATCTCCTGTACTATGTCCGCAGTCTCTGGTCATCATCCTGTACTGTGTCCGCAGTCTCTGGTCATCCCTGTACTGTGTCCAGCAGTCTCTGGTCATCCCCTGTACTGTGTCCGCAGTCCTCTGGTCATCCTCCTGTACTGTGTCCGCAGTCTCTGGTCATCCCCTGTACTGTGTCCGCAGTCTCTGGTCATCATCCCTGTACTGTGTCCGCAGTCCTCTGGTCATCTCCTGTAACTATGTCCGCAGTCTCTGGTCATACCCCTGTACTGTGTCCGCAGTCTCTGGTCATCCCTGTACTGTGTCCGCAGTCTCTGGTCATCCCCTGTACTGTCCGCAGTCTCTGGTCATCCCTGTACTGTGTCCGCATTCTGCCTGTAGGACATCTCCTGTATACTGTCGACAGTCTCCTGGTCATCTCCCTGTACTATGTCCGCAGTCTCTGGTCATCTCCTGTACACGTCCGCAGTCTCTGGTCATCTCCTGTAAACGTCCGCATTCTCAGGTCATCACCAGAAGAATTGACCGCAGACCTCAGTCAACACCTGTACTATGTCCTGCAGACTCGTGGTCATATCCTGAACTGAGTCTGGCAGTCAAATGGTTCAGAAATTTTTATTTCTTGTTTTACCGCCCTCTAAAACCTAGGTCGTCTTATGTGTCAGGTGTGTCTTAAGGAGCTAAAAATACAGTAACAATTTTTGTTTTTTTAAATTTAAAATTTTGGGGGGAATTTGACTTTTTACTTTTTATGCTTTTATTAATTTTTTTTTTTAAACATTAACTTTTTAAAACCGATTGCGGGTCCTCTCAAAATGCGGAAGCCATCCTTTCGAGACCCAGTGAAAATAATGTGCCCTGACTGAGCCGTGCTGTGCCCTATACTAATACTCCACTATGTATGGTAGCAATGGAAGCTGTCCCTTGAGGCAGAGACCAGGTGGCCCAGGACAAGAGGGAAAACAAAATCGGGTGTCCATGCCTCCTTCCATGTCTGCTAAAGACACAAACACCTTTATTTTGGGTGTTCTATGGGTTGGGGTACCAGGAATGATCGGGGAAAATGCCCTTCTTCATGCAGCTGGCTAACTGCATCAGTGTTGGGGTTTGGGCCACAGCACATTCTGGATACAATATGGCTGTGATGAACTCTATCTGAAATATTAGGAAGGATCCACTCGTCCAGATGCTTTATAAAGCACAAAACCAGTTATATACTGTAAAGCCCATTGAAATAAATAAATCATACACTTTTTTGTACCAGCAATTGTCTTTCGAGAAACTAAGTATGGCTTCATCATCAGGTCGTTGAAGTCCACCCCTCCCATGTTAAAGCTAACAGTCCGTGATCCACAGAGGCTTCTCAACATTGCCAGCTGCATGGAAAATATTGGATGGTAGTGTCCTGCATGAATTGGAAGACAGTATAGAAAACATCCCGTTTGTCCATCCACTGTGAGCAATTCCTCATTTTCACAGCAGACTTTTCCCCCCCTTTCTAAGAATGGTATTTACAAGCTTTTGGGAAGCCCTGTGATTAGGTTTGCACGGTGCACATGCACCAATTCCAAGATTGTAAAAATATAAAAAAAATTATATTAAAAAAAAAAAAAAAATCTAAATAGTGGCACGCTTGAAATAAAAATTGTCATGTATAAATAGGACCCCATATGGAAAAAGGAAATGACACCAATGTCCCAAACAATCTTGCCACTGCTCCCCTTGTAGTCTGGGCATCTGGGGGCTCCACGTGACTATCTTTTCCATCGTAAATCCAATTCTTATATTATACCTGTTGCTCTCTCACAGGTCTTATACATCTTGACCCCATATCTGGCACGTTTGCTGGGAGAAATTGGTTTGAATGCAAGGCACCAGAAAAATTGAGGGGCTCATCTATGCAGATTTTTTCTGGGGAGTATAAGACATCTGCAAATTTTTGGTTAAGGTGATTTAACGAGGGCCAAATTTTGTGGAGCT